ATTGATTGATTGATTGATTGATTGATTGATTGATTGATTGATTGATTGATTGATTGATTGATTGATTGATTGATTGATTGATTGACCAATTGATTTATAACCATAATTATTCATAATAAAATAAAATCCATAATTCTCCACAACATAATATAATAGCTATCATCATTGTCGGTTTATGGTTAAGTCGCCTGTGTGTGTGTTTTTGTTTGTTTGTGTGTGTGTTTTTGTGTGTGTTTGAGTGTCTGTGAATGTGTGTGTGCGTGTTGCTGTGGTTTGTGCTACCATCATTAGCACTATTACTACTACTACTACTACTACTTGCTACTACTACTACTACTACTGCTACTGCTGCTACTACTACTACTTGCTTCTACTACTACTACTACTGCTTCTACTACTACTACTACTGCTACTACTAATACTAACGATAATAATAATAATAATATAAATAATATAAATAATTAGCACTCTTATTATAAATATTCCTAAAATAAAAAATTATTTAAAACCAACTTACTAAATTTGTCCAAGTGAATTAATGATACTCGGCTAAAATTCATTGTGACTGGATTTGGCGGAAAATATTTTTTAAAGTGGTGATGATGATGATGATCATGAAGATGATGATGATGATGATGATGATAAAGACGATGAATATGAGGATGAGGATGATGATGAGGAGGAGGATGATGATGAAGATCGTGATTATGATGATAACGACGATGATCATGACGAAATAGACATCAACTAACTGAAATCTTCGGGCACCTTATCAACTATCTTCTTCTCTGTGTTAAAATACTTCATCGTCATCATCATCTTCTTCATCATCATCTTAATTATCATCATCATCACCGCCACCACCTCCTAAATTATCACCACCACCATCATCACCACCACCATCATATCACCACTGACCTGTCTGATCGTAATCTTTTTCGTCTGGGTTGAATTGATTAAACAATGAATGGCAGTTACACATTTTAAAAATCTTCAAACATAGTTAAAAACATCTCTTCAAAATTGCCTGCTGATATAAAAGATTCCTATACAAAAAATATTACAAGGCTTGGAAGGAAAAATGAATCGTCCAAGCGTCCTATATTGTTAGCGTTGGATAGGTTGGTGTCTAAAGAGAGATAGGCACACAAATCGAAGCTAATGCCGGTTGGACGGAATAAAGTATGGATCGGCAACAAACCTGACACCAGAGCCGAGAAGTAAATTAAAAATCTGACGCAAAATCAAGAGAAAAAGCATACAAAGACAATTTTTTATACAGAGTCAGAGGTCAAAGTGGCAAGATGGTTGTGAAGTTTAAAAATTAATTGATGGAGAGGCTGGTGATGGTAGAGCCAGTCAGAAGATGGTTCATGTTACAGCTCAAAATAAAAATTACAATGATTTAAAAATTGGTCTGGGGCTCCTGAACATATGATCTATAATGTCAAAGTATGAAATGGTGCATGATATAATTTGTGGAGAATTGGAAATTTTTGTTCGTTAACTGAAACATGGCATGGGTCGTCAAATGAATTTGCAGTTCGATGTGCAATGCTCTCCAGGTTTTAACTCTGTAGATTAAGTTAAACCTCACGATTCATATCACGGTGGAATAATAATATATTTCAGGAAAGAATTCATCTAAAAAACTGTTGAATTACTCGCCGTAACAACTTTTGAAGCCGATGCGATTAAATTGACATTAAACAAATCTGATTTTATTGTGTTTTCAATTTCAAGACCTGGATCGGTCCTTCCTTCACCGACTTTGCATTCGGAGTTAGTGAGCATTTTAGAAGTTTTATCGCAGTTAAGTATGGAGAGGGTAGATGATCCAAATAGAGCCTCATCAGGCGATGTTTTTGGTGGTTTTCAGTCGGCCAACAGAATTAACGAACAAAGGCAGGTGGTGTTTTGGACTTGATCGTCACTTTATCACTATTTTCCTAATTCTGAAAGTTTGATTTCACTTATTCTCTGGATTTCTCTTGTTGGAGTGTTATCAGATTATGGATTAATCCAGGTATGTTTGTCAACCAATCAAGTTAAAGGTAGAAGGAGTTAAAAAGTGTTACGGACCCCTGGAGATGCATGAATGAAGAGAATCTAGATTTACGGAAAATTCATCTTGGAAAATTCATCTTTGGAAAATTCATCTTGGAAAATTCATCGTGGGGTAAAATTCATAGTGGATAATTCATTGTGGTAATGTTATAAGGTATTGAGGCCCGGAGTGGAAATATTTGTGAGGTCCCTATAATTAATTAACAATCGAAATCGAACCCGAATTCGTTTACTTAAATTGGCGTTATTAGTTGTGGGGGACCAGCTGTGGTAGGTTTAATTCCTATCTTGCAATATGATACTAATTGCTAATTATCGTTTAATCGTTAAATTGCCGAAATCTATTCACCAATTAATTAATTTATGTATGTATGTATGTATGTATGTATGTATGTATGTATGTATGTATGTATGTATGTATGTATGTATGTATGTATGTATGTATGTATGTATGTATGTATGTATGTATGTATGTATGTATGTATGTATGTATGTATGTATGTATGTATGTATGTGTGTATGTATGTGTGTATGTATGTATGTATGTGTGTGTGTATGTATGTTTGCATGAATCAAGAAGTTACCTATATGCAGTTCGCTGGGTGCCTTCTTGCCTAGCACTGCATGTATTGACGATGATGTTGGTGATGATGATGACGACGATGACGAAGGTATTCTTGATAATGATGACGATAATAATAATAATATAATAATAGTAATGATGACAACGAAGATGACGATGATTTAGCTAACTCCTAGCAGACTTGGCTAGGGCCTCTCTAAAATTCCTCTCCAGTCCTCCCTCATCCACATGTTGTTCATGAGACTTTTCTGAAATTTAAAAAAAAAATAATAATTAATAATAATTAATAAATAAATAATAATAATTAATAAATAATATAATAATAATTAATGATGGCAATAATTATAATTGATCGTTTTAAAGTTTATAGTGGAATTCCACATGGAAGTGTTCTGCCTCCTGTGTTGTTTCTTGCATGTGTGAATGACCTTTTGAATATTTGACTCCGGGTGACCTTTTGGGTATTTGACTCCGGGTGACCTTTCGGATATTTGACTCCTGGTGACATTTTAGATATTTGACCCCGTGTGACCTTTTGGATATTTGACTCCTGGTGACCTTTTGGATATTTGACTCCGGGTGACCTTTCGGATATTTGACTCCTGGTGACATTTTAGATATTTGAAATTTAGATCCCAGGATCAGCCTCTACCTGTATGTATGCCTGATGGTGCTATGATGTTTAAACACGTTTCAGGCCATGAGATGAGGATAGGAGGGTTCCACTAGCCGGTTTCGGTGAACTGTATGAATATAGTGACTACTACCACTAATTCTATGTTACTAACTTTTGCTAAGCGCTATCTCTTTAGCTCTTTCTGTAGCTTTATTTCCAACCATTGTAAAGAATTACTTAATAATAATAATAAAAATAATAATCGTTATTATTATACTTCTTATTATTCTTCTTATTATTATTAATAATGCGCGTCACTCATTAGGTTAAAAATATTTACAGTGAGTTAAATCCATTGTTATCTCGTATTAAATATAATCATTAACACATGTTAATATATATTTAAATATATATTAACAATAATAAAATAGTAATAATAATTATAATTATTATTGTTTATTATTATTATTATTATTTAAAAAGGGTCCCCAAAAAAAGATTTAAATAAAAATAGAGTTGACATGGAAAGAGAAAAATTATTGATATTGTTTACATACATACACAAAGTATTTTGCTAGCTACGTCATGCCACAGAATATTAATTTTAATTCTATATTTATTATCTAATTTAATTGTTTTTATTATTATTATTATAATTATTAGTGTTATTATTATTTTGCTTGTGATAATAATAATAATAATGATAAGGCGGAAAAATCTAATTTAGAAGAAAGAATTCTATAAATTTTTTAACTATTAACGAATATAAAACATAAATTATTTAACAAAAATGCGCCATATATAAATGAATGAATGAAAAAATGAATGATTGATTGAATGAATGAATGAATGAATGAATGAATGAATAAATGAATAAATGAATAAATGAATGAATGAATGAATGAATGAATGAATGAATGAATGAATGAATGAATGAATGAATGAATGAATGAATGAAACGTTTATGTCTGAAATGTCAAACGAACAGAAGTAAAACAACAAAACTCGCTTGTCAACATCACCATCATCACCACCACCACCATCATCATCATCGACATTAAGTCCTTCATCATCATCGTCATCGTCGTCAACAGCCTCAAGGTCGTCGGCCTCTTTGTAGCCATCACTTCGGCTTCAAGTGCCTCAAAACTGGAATCGTCCCAATCTTCATACTCAACTGGACTGGTCTAGGTAGCAAGCTCAATCTATGCTCTTGTTCATCTTGAGATAATAGTTATAATAATAATAATAATAATAATAATAATAATAATAATAATAATAATAATAACAGTTATTATTATTATTATTATTATCATAATTATAATAGTAATATTATGTCGTGAATTCAGCGATTTTACTCTGCTTAAAAATTCTTATTGCAGACTGACAGCAAAAAACGCTATCATAAATGTATCTATCCTCTTCTTGCGTTCGAACAGGAGTACGTTCAGCAGTTGCAGCAGAGGCAGCAGCGGAAGCAGCAGAGGCAGCAGCAGCGGCAGCAGTAGTTGCAGCAGTAGTAGTAGTGACAGCAAACCTCCTTTAAGATAGCTCAGCTTGATGGCGTAGAGGGCAGTCCCGAAGACTTCGAAGTAGTGCTTGTAG